TTGTCGAGGTGCTTGCCGCGCTTCGTGTGGTCCCGGACGTACTCGTAGAGCGTCAGCAACAAGCGCCCGTCGCCGCAGCCCATGTCCGCCACGGCCGCGGGCTGGTCCTCGAGGGGCTGGTCGTCGAAGACGCGATTGAAGACGCCGTTGCACATGTGCTCGAAGAAGCGCTTGTGCTGCGCGCCCGACGCGATGACGTTGAGCACGCGGTCGACGTGGACCTCGTGGCCGTCGGCCTCCTGGGCCGCGAAGATGGACCCGTCGCCCATGAGGATCTTCGGCAGCTCCTGGAACATGGGATAGTAGGAGATGGGCACGCCCGCGTTCAGCGCTGTCGAGAGCACGTACATGCCCATGTACGTGAGCTTCGACGTGTTGTCCGCGCACCAGCCCAGGCCCTGGAAGATGGCGAGGACGCTGGGGCCCAGCGACGACTCGTCCAGGCGCAGGTGCGTCGTCTTGAAGGCCTCGGACGTGCCCTGGACGTACATGCGGAGGTAGATGACGATGGGCGCGAGGTAGAAGCTCTCGAGGAGCAGCTGGACCCGCGGCAGCTTCGGGCCCGTGAGGTCGATCTGGGCGAAGAAGGCGTTGACGTTCTGGTCGAAGACCTTGGCGAAGTCGTAGCTGAGGTACTTCTCGATGGACTCGAAGGGCAGCCGCACGAAGTCGTCGAAGTCGCGGCCCCGCCGGTAGCCGCCGCCGCCCTCGTCGACGAGCAGGTCGAGGGACACGAGCAGGTGGACACAGCTCTTCGTGTAGCCCGGCTGGAGCTTGAGGCCCTCGCAGAGGCTCCGCAGGCTCCAGCGCTCGTGCTCCATCATGTAGCGCAGCGCGCCCGTCTCCGCGAGCGCCGACGCCGTGCAGATGCTCGTGAACCCGTGCTGGAGGTACATGGGCACGGCCATGAGGTTGGCGCTGCTGAGGCGCTCCGTCTCCGGGAATGACAGCACCGCCGCCTTCCCCGACGGGCGGCGGTCCATGATGACCATATTTCCGAGGCTGCCCAGAGAGATGGCTCAGCAGTTCGTGTTGCTGTGGCGAGATGATGTTGCCGACCGCGAAGCCATCGAATCCAGAGCTTCGCGCCCAATTCTCCTTGGTTTTATTTTTATTATGTCTTAAATATTTTTGAAATGAGAACAATACAATAACAATTAAACAAGCTACAATTAATAGTTTGATATTCATATAAATTAATAGATTTTTTTTGACTTATTGGTATATTTCACAATAAATGCCCACCAGCTCCGACTGCCGCCTCGCCGCCGCCTTCAAAAATCATGCAGATCTTCGTCAAGACGCTCACGGGCAAAACCATCACGCTCGACGTGGAGCCCTCGGACACGATCGACAACGTGAAGCAGAAGATCCAGGACAAGGAGGGCATCCCTCCGGACCAGCAGCGCCTGATCTTCGCGGGCAAGCAGCTCGAGGATGGCCGCACGCTCAGCGACTACAACATCCAGAAGGAGTCGACGCTCCACCTCGTCCTTCGTCTTCGCGGCGGCCACTGCCAGGTGCCCTGCGGCATCTTCGACGACCCGAAGCTCGTCGCGGAGCTCCTCGAGGCGTGCGCGACGATCGAGAAGGCCATGGCGCAGATCCAGGAGCTCTACGGCAAGATGTCCGAGGGCCCGCTCGTCCTGAACCAGATCACGCGCTGGATCAACACCAAGGAGGAGCACTGCGCGAAGATCATCGACCTCATCTCGAACTACTGCCTCTGCCAGCGCTGCAAGCCCTTCGGCACGCCCGGCTCGCCCTTCAAGACCAAGGAGGACTACACGGACGCGCTGCTCGCCCACCACGCCGTCATGAGCGCCGCCATGAAGGCCAAGCAGAACGTCGACCCGTCCTTCTCCGCGGGCCTCAAGCACGCCGTCGGCGACGCGACGCTCATGTACAAGCCCGTCGCGCCGCCCGCGGCCCCATGAAGCCAGGCGAAGCGAGTCAAGGTTGTGTGATGAGCGGCAGCGCAACAAAACAGGCGCGCCGCGCGCGTAAGGCAGGGCGCTTCACCCCGCCCATATGGAATCCGCCCCATATTATGATATCCGCCCCATAACCCCCGCCTTGTTTAACCCCCGTGCGGGGGTAAATCGGCGGGGGTTATGGGGCGGATATCATATGATATACCACCTCAACTTGCCTTCACCTGA